TATAATATAGAATATCTAGGGTTAAGATGGGTAAAATGCTTTAATGTCCTGATTTTTTAATTGACCCAGTTCGTGGATATTTAAAGTAGTAAAATAAGGTTACTAGAGTCTATGTGGGAAAGACCCTTTCTAAAAATTCATAACACGTTATAGTGTTAAAATATACTGTAAATGAGAAAGGAGTATTTTCGTACTATAAAAAAAATAATATAAATTTTATATAAGTTCATTTGGAGTAATGTAAAATACGATTCATTTTCATATTTCTAGAATATTATGAATTCTAAATTCTGCGCTTTTAATATAGCACTTAATTTTTTATAAATATTAGTTTTGTGTAAAGCATTATTTTTAAATTTTAGGGTGATAGTGGAGGTCTATTAGCTGTTGATAACGTAATTGTTGGAGTAGTATTAGGCGGCTCGCGATTTTATGGTAGAGACTCATGGGAACAGTACACTAATGTTTTTAGCTTCCTTGACTTTATCAAAGTAGCTATGGGAAATAAACAAATTCCAGTAAATCCATCTCCAACCAATCCACCTCAAAACATTCCAAAGCCAGTGAAATCTCATAAAATTTTAAATCCATTGCAAACATTTCCACCTCAAAACAAACCATAGTAGTTCCTACTGGCGTTCAACAGAGCGTTGCATGTTCCGGCCCAAATAAAATACTAAGGTATCAATTTAAAGATGGTGAACTAGTTGGAGCGTTCTGTGAAATTTTACAACAGCCAATTTATGGATATGGTTTTTAAGTTTTCAATAATGCATAATACATAAAGTATACATTTTATTAATATTTATAAAAGCAAAAACTATTTTTTTAATGTTTGACAATTTTTTATACATATTTTTATCAGAAAATCGAAAAATTCCGTTTTTGGGTCAATTTACTCCCATAAAAGATTGTTTTAGGACTGTAATTTTATGATACTAAAGAACATTTTAAAGAAAAAAAGGAAAATCGATTTTTTTAAATCCTTGACTAGAAAATCTCCTTAAAAACTTTTCTAATATAGTAACCATTGTTTCCAGTGGTTCCTCTGGGACCATTTTTCTTGTGTAGGGTTCCCTCATAAGATTCCAGCAACCAGAATAAGTTATTCCGCATTCAGTGAGGTGTTCTGTTTGAAAAGGTTAACAATTTTCTTCTGTTCGAAAATTGTCATTTCAGAAATTTACATCGATTGGTAGATTAGGAACCATAGCTGGGAAGGTCAATAAAAAACAATAATTGCAGCTTCAGCTTCATCAAATTAAATTTTTTTTAAAGTACGAAGAATAATTGAAAATGGTGGGAAGGCATAAAAAATAGCTTTTCCACTGGATGGTGAAGGCAACAGAGCCCAGATTTCGTTTGCAGCTTACATATTTATCATATTTTCAGTTTAATCGCGAAACAAAAAAATCAATTTCCAAAGCTCCAAATGTCTTAATAATTTTTTAAAAAGTAGAACTAGATGCACTTAACATAAATGGAATTTCAATTTTGTACAAAATTTGGGAAACAATTAACTTGTAATTTATATTCATATTAACATTTTTACCTTTATCAGAATAAAATATTTGTTTGTCCCAATGAGGAAGCTAAATGCTCATGAAATGAACAACATGTTTGATTTTTTTTATACGTCATATATCCCCTTTTAAAAATTTAGTTCTTAATAATACAAGTTTTCGCACTGAAGGAAATTTATTTGCAAGGAGTTGTATTTTAAAATCTACTTTTAATTATACTCAAAATACAAATCTATAGTCGTTATTCGTTTCTTTTTGAATAAATGTTTTGAAAGCATACACTTTTGTAAATAAACTCGGAGATGAACCACAATTAAGATAAGATGATGCGATTCCAACAATTTCTCCATTAATAACTAGTGGGCTACCACTATCACCCTGAAAGTCATTTTGAATATTAGTTAAACTTATAGTATATAATAAAACAGAAAGTTACGGTTGCATTTATATTTTTAAATACTCTTTAGGGTTTTGAAGATTTCTTAATAATGTGATATTCTATAAATGGTAACTTTTAAAAAGATAGGTTTTTGCACTTGACAGTATCATCACGCCTTTACAGTATCATTTCATTAGAAATGTATAATCTTTCCGAGTAGAAATTTAAGCCCAACTTTGAAGCTAAAATGTAGTCTTCGTTAAGGTTACAGCAGATTTGTTAATTTATATTTCGTTATTTATATTTGTTACAAAATATATTTTTTTTGAAGGATTAATTATCGCCTACTCTACCCCAGCCTGCAAGTAAATCCTTTGACGAGAAAAAATAAAATCCTTACAAGTTTCAGATTAGAAAGCTTCCGCTACCTTTAAGAGACAATGCAGGGTCTAACAATTCAAATTACAACCTTCTGTATAACTGCTGAAACCTAAGTAAACCCCTGAAGTTTAGAATTAAAGTTGGGCTTAAATTTCGACTTAGATCTAGAGACATTTTTTAAATATACTTGTAACAAGATGTTTTAATGTCTACTGAATTAATACTACTTTGGCTAAAATTGATAAAAACTTACGGGACATGTAGTTTTTCCATCTACTGGCAGAATGCACAATTGTTCATCAGAAAATTGAACTGGCGAGTATGCTTGACATTCTGTTATATCAGCAATGTGAGTATTGATTTTTCGTAGATTACTTTGAGTAGACCTGTCAGCTTCTGTTGTTTGACCCCAACCTGCAATAACTACTGGCCAACCTGGTGCATAATCGTAACTCGCCAACTTTATAGACTTCCATGATTTATCATTCGGTCTTAAGGGTTTATTTAGCTATATAATTATAATGGGATATAAACAAAAAATCATTATAGTCTCTTTAATTTAATATAATCGACACTTACAGTAAGGATGGCAATGTCATACAATAGAGCAAGATCCCATGGTAAACCTTTGTATTGTTCATGAATTATGCCTTTTTTAATGGTATGAGATTTCCCACCGTAATGTAAATTGTTAGTCCCTGTTACGACTACTATATCATCCAAGTCCCTTCCCTTAATGCAGTGCGCTGCCGTTAGAATGTGTTGAGCTGTTATGATAGCTCCACCACAGAGAAATTCATTTCCCGGTAAACGCAAGAAAATTTGGTAAGGAAATTCATTTTGCAATGCTATTCTACCACTTGAGATTTTTTGAGGTGGGTTCGCAGATGTTTCTGAAAAATTAAAGAATTGTCAGTTAGATAATAATAGTCATCCTAGATAAAGTTTTCTCCCAATATACAAAAGTTATCTCTAGAATTATTTTACTGAAATTAAATTAATTTTTAATCTACTTACCAATAATAGATACACTGCAGACTAAGAATAATACAAACATGTACATTATTGAATTTTGATTTTTAGCAAACGTTAGTCATTTAAAAATGACTAACCTTACGTTTAATTAACTTTATGTATATATATAGATAGATTAGTATTCAGTGTTTACTTTAAAAATAATATGAAATTCGGATATATGCAAGTGCACTTGAAAATAAATAAACTGACAGACACATCTGTAGAATTGTGAATGATTTACGTCAACAACAGATGTTAGAGCAAAAAATATGTTCCTGGTTATATTAATGATTTAATTTGTAACGTAAATAATGTAAAGAAATATTAAACATTATTTTCCTTGACATTCAAATATAAATGGTAAATTTGAATATTTTGGAATAAATTTCCCTGAGTACCGGCTACTGAACTTTGAATTGCAATGTAGAATTCAATGTAAGCAGATAAAAAACGGTAAATTTTACTTCAAGACCTACTGCTGGTGCTAAAGTGTGCAAGGATTGTGATAGGGGAAGTACTTTTTGTCTGAAAAGGACGAAAAAGACTGCAGGCGGTTCATTGTCATCGATGTTTTGGATTCGTCCAAATGGGCAAGAATTGTAAAATTGCGGGTTGGTCGACCGTTTGCTTTAACTGCGGAGAAGTCGATCATAAATTCGCTGTTTGCAAGAAGAGCGCAAGCTGCTTTTTATGCAAAGAAAAATGTAGTTCAATTCACCTGACTACGTGGTTGTTTTATATTTTGTCAATATCTATGTTATCAATAGCAAACAAAGAATTTATTTAGAACAATGAAGTATTTGTAAACGGTTCCCAACCAGAAGTTTTTTTCACTAGAATTTCCTTATCCTTGAAGTTAAAAAATGCTATTATTATTCAAATTTACATATATAATGGTAATTTATTTTAATAATTGCTGTTATCGTTACAATTCGTTACGTAGCTGTTAAATTTGAATATTGTTAAAAAAATAAATAGTAAATTTTGTTTGTATAAAGTGATAACATTACTATATATTGATCAGTTTATTATTGGTTAGCATATTTGAATTTACTTATTTGTGACGTCTGATAATTATAATAATTTAATGCAGAGTCACATACTTTCCTACACGAAAAAAAAATTAAATATGCGAGGAATAATTTGTATTATATTCATGATGATATTTTTACATTACATAGGATTATAAAATTACACATCTGAGTATTGTAATTTTAAAATAATTGGTCAAATTAACACCCTAACATCAAAGGATACTCCAAGATATATTACGGACGTCCTAGTCATATCCACAAAATTAGGATATATCCTCAGAATTCCCTAAAACCATTAACGCTCAGACTCGGATGAAAAATTTCCTTTGACTTTGAGGATTTCGTTTTTCATAGAAACGCAAGACACAAGGATTATTAATTGTCAATACAAACAAGAATTGGAATTATAATACTGATAATTTTTATTATTTCAAATTGCAGTTAAATAATAAATGAAATATTTAAATTGATTAAACACGTTAAAAGAAATATTAATCACATGTACGTTTTTAATGTACAGAAATAGTTATTTGTATTCAATTTAAATATTAACATTAAATAGATAAAGTGAATACACAACTCTGACGTACATTTTTCGTTGTTACAACTTGGATAAAAGAAGAGAATTTGAAAACATCGATCATTATAGTTTAATATTCTGATTTTGTTAACATGAGGCGTTTCCAATTACATCCGGCTCTGCTCATTATTGCAGCAGTTTCTATTGGTATGTAAGAAAGTTGAATGATAAATAATCTAAATATCGTAATTTTTTATAAATAATGTATGCTTTTAAAAGGTTAAATTGGCGGTGAGTTTCTTTCAATACGTTTTCGAGTGAAAACCGTATTGGCAGAAACCATTAACCCAGAGTTAACTCGGGACGTGTGTCGAAAACAGCCATTGTGAGGCGTTCATGGTATAAAATGGTCGACATTTTCATTAGGGTCGAACAAATGAATAACTTTACTCTCTGTCGTCAGCTATCTAAATGCGCCATTTTTGTGCATGCGAGATAAACAAAATTTTAATTATTGTACAAAATAATCTTGTTAAATAATAATTTTATTCACATTCCTTTATTGATATAAATTTTGTTTAATTTAAGGTGTTTCAGGTTTACCACCTCAAAAAATTGTTGATGGTCTCCCAACAAATAGAGACGAATTTCCTTATCAAGTTTCGTTACAACGTTTAGATTCAAAACATTTTTGTGGTGGCAGTATTATATCCAAGCTTCATATTCTAACTTCCGCCTATTGTGTACAAGAATTTCAGAATTTGACAAATAATCTTTTAGTAGTAAGTGGAAGTAATGATCTTCGTTTGGCTCCGAATAAATATAAAGTAAAATCTGTTACGTTTCCTTCAGAATATGTACATAATTCAACAGTCTATGACATTGCAGTGTTAACAGTGAGTATATTTTAACACATTTTAATTCAAAATATTTTCCAAACTATTGTTGAAAGTCTACCAAAATAATGATAAAATATTTCTTAAATATGATTTTTTAAATAAATTATATATGAATAAATAAAAGCTGAACATTTATTTCTTAGTTGAAGGACCAAATTCTTTTTCACCATAATCAAAAGCCTATTAAACTAGCCACAAGAGACAATTATCGTGGAAAAGAAGCATTTGTTTCTGGTTGGGGTACTGTTAAGAAGAATCGTAGAAATCCACATTATCCAGATACTTTACAAAAATTGAAAACATGGATTTTTAGTCATGAAGATTGTGGAGTAGCTGATACACAAATTTGTACTCTTGAAAAATTAGACATTGGTGTTTGTGACGTTAGTAGAAGTTTTATGAGTATTTTCTATATTTATGTTTGCATGCAGGGTAATAAATTTTATTTTATATATGTTTTTGAATTCTCAGGGTGATGGTGGCAGTCCATTAGTTATTGGAGATGAACTTTTTGGAGTATTAGCAGGTATTCCTGATGAATGCGCTGTTGGCAAACATACACCATATACAAAAGTTTCTAGCTACTTCGATTATATTAAAAACATAGTTGGAAATGCCATAGAAGAGAATCCTGACTATTATTTTAAAAGTACATATAATGATGTAGTACTTCCGTATGATCTTGAACACGAAAAATGTGACATATCTCACGAATTTGTAGGAAGTGATAACTTGCTATTTTGATAGATTTTAAATAAAACTACATTTTTATAAAAGCATTTTTCTGCATAAAATGTTGTTGAATATTAAAAGAATAAAACGGAGTAGATAATTTTTGTTTTCTCTTTTATCCATAACCTATTATACGGTCGTGTGTGTCACACGTATTGATGCTGCAAGGCACAAACTTTTGAAGACATGACTAGACAACAAGTGGCAAGAACATTGTAAATTAACAGTCTGTTCTTCTAATCTGAATAGCGCATTCGTTGATTTTATATAATCTTCATCATCATAGTAATATAATCATTTTCCCAATTTTTTTCTTTTCGCACTTTTCGTGTAACATTAGGCAGATTATAATACTTTGTTTTTAGAATTTGTTTGAAATATTTATATTAATTCTCTTCCCCAAAGTTGTGTCAATCGTATCTTGGTTATATCTTAAAAATCGGACAAAAATTTGAAAGTCTTAATATCAATCAGTTCAAAAAGTTTTTCAATATAATCAAAAGTTTTTGAAATATTAGGGTTCATACTGTTCCGACATGCCGTATGATCTTCCAAATTTTGCATTTCTGAATGAGAATATGAGTCATTTTGAATTTGGCTTGCTGGTGGACGAGGACCTCGAAATCGGTGTGATGACGTTGGAATATTATATTTTTCAACAGTTCCTCTCCAACGATGTCCATTCATACCAATTTCCTCCTCAACAATAATTTCTTCTTCCCCCATCACCTGAGAATGACTGTTATCAGACATTTCTTTTGAAGCTGGAAGTTTTTCAAGAGTTTTTTCCCCGTGCAATTGAAGATTTTTCTCCGAACTATGACTCTCGTCATTGTCATTGACATCATTAACCTGATCAGTACAGCTTATTTCACCCTCAGTTCCAGACGACGTTGATGTTAAGAGTGACGTAGCGTTCGATGTGTGTGGTTCGATTGCTGTAAAAGCACCCGATCTTCTTGTATTCATCTTTTGCAATCGTTTAGATTGAAAACAATTGTACTAGCGAAATAAAATGTGCTTATTTTAATCATAAATCGTAATTATAATTGAAAATTTGATTAATTCAATTTTGTTAAAATGTATTGATATTAATTGAATTTCTGTAAAGAATTTTACTATTTATAAAAGTAATTGAATCCTTCCAAAGAATTTTATTACATATTTAAGAAAATAATTCTCTAAAGGCAATATAAATAAGAATGACTCTCTTTACCTAATTTGCATATCTACTCGTTTCATATTAAGGATGATTCTGTTATGAATTACAGCGTACACCTTGGAATTTGACACCAAGGACTGACATCGCCATCGACCATACCATGTTAAAAACCCTTTTTTACCTAACCTTTTATCCACCTACGGAACTACCTAGTGGCTTCAGACTTCGTAAATGAATGGTCCTATTTAGTCGCTGACGCGACTTTTCCGTGCCGCTCTTGTTCTGGCCTTACTTCCTTCTTGTCCTTGACAAAGTCTTCTTTGCTTCCTCTAGTGCAGTTCTGAAGACTCTGCATCCTCCTGATCCGGTGACATGTTGGATGTTCTCCTTTTCGCCGAACTTCGCCTGGCATAAGAAGCAGCATGGGCTCTTCTTACAATCTACTGCCTTATGGCCGGCTTCTCCGCACTTGAAGCACGCAGCCGACCTATCTACTGTTTGGCAATTTCTACCTATATGGCCATAGTCAAGGCACCTATGACACCTTGTGACCATTGTTCTTCTTCTTATCTTGCAGGAGACGAACTCAATCTTTATGTGCCCAATTTTCTCCAGCTTATCAGCGTCTTCCTGGCTGGTGACCACGACAGCGAGCTTTGCTCCTCGCTTGTTTGGTCCAAGGACTGTCACCTTCCTGCTGGTACCGTAGAAACCTTCTCCAGGGCTCCCAGTAAGTCTTCTTTTTCTGTAAGGGCATCCATATCGCGGATTTCCAACGTAGTTTGCCGGTCCGCCATCTGCACCTTACCCAGTGGTCCAATCACCCTTGTCACCTCCTCGGTGTACAACGCCTTACTTGAAGTCCCTCCAATTTTGATAAGAAGGTCTCTCTTTTTAGTGGGTAAAGTTCTCACAACCCTTGTCTTACTGGCCTCCAGGTCAGCCTCTTCACGAACCTTCTTCAGTACGTTCGCGAATGATGTTCCTTCAGCCACTTTAACGATAATTGTTGTTCGTTGTTGTGGCTGTCTTCTGTCCTTGACTGAATTTAACTTTGGTTCCGACTTGGTACCCTTGCCTTCAGTCCTTTTAGGACTGATTATTATACTATTTTTGTCATGTTCTAGTTTTGAGTTAATAAATTACATTAATTTCACAAAATATACGTAGGTTTCTCTATTAAAAATAATCACGTGTAATTACACGTGTAGATTTGGACATGTGTAATGCACTTGTAAATACACGAGGAAACGTTTTTGCACGTGTAATAATTTTTTCCTCATGTAAATACTCATGTATTTCACCTGTAAATACATGTGTAATACATGTCCAAATAGACATGTGTTTATTTTTACTAGTTTCATTTCAACGAAAAAAATTAAGATAGGTATATTAAAATTACATATTTAAATTTACTAAATTTTTCAGAAAAAGTTTGTGTCAGTATCATTTTCATGGTTACTATATGTATTTGAAAAATATTTCTATGAATAAAGTCAAGATATGTAAATTAAAATTAAATACTTGAATTGACTAATTTCTTTAGAATATATTTACGTATATGAGGCATTTTACGTGAAATGTCCTAAGTTGAAATTTCAACTTCTTGAAAAAAATTAAAACTCAAGGAATTTGTTGTTCTATCAAGTAGAAATGTTCCCCAAAAAATATTTTTGATTTTTTCGAAAATTTGGAGGGGGGTTAATTTGACCAATTTTGCTAACACCGGCTACTTTGTGAATTTTTTCTAAACATACTTGTAATGGGAAAAATTTTTTAGAATATGTTCCTGAAAGGTTTTTTCGTCCTCTTTCCAATGGTGAATTTAATTTTTTAATATTTTAAAAATTGACCCTAATTTTTTATAATTAATACTAAATTTTCAATTTCCCAAAAATCGGTCCGTTTTTTAAAATAAATTATTGGAAACGAAAGCTAAAGTTTTTTCCTATCGGCATGTAAATTTTCAGAATGCCCTTTTTTTGAGTTATTAAATTTCAAAGAATAAATAAAATATTGTTATTCGAGGGTTTTCGGGGTCGCTGATTATGAATCCGATGTCAGTTATTCAAAATTCAAAATGGCGGATCCAATATGTCGGACAATATTTCAAAAAATTGCTTGAATTTGCTTCCAAATTGTTACTCGGGGATTTTCGGGATCACTGATTACGAATCCGATGTCAGGTTTTCAATATTCAAAATGGCGGATCCAATATGGCGGACAAGATTTCAAAAAATCGCTTGAATTTGCTTCAATATTGTTACTCGGAGGTTTTCGGGGTCGCTGATTACGAATCCGATGTCAGTTTTTCAAAATTAAAAATGGCGGTTCCAATAGGGCGGACGAGATTTTCAAAAATTTGTTTGAATTTCCTTCAAAAACGTTACTTTGGGGTTTTAAGGGTCGCTGATTACGAATCAGACGTCAGATTTAAAAAAATTCTTAAATTGAAAATGGCGGATGCAATATGGCGGATAAGATTTCAAAAATTGATTTTATTTGCTTCAAAACTGCTACTCGGGGGTTTTTGAAGTCGCTGATTACGAATCAATTGGAGCAAGGATAGTTAAAGAATCCGAATGCTATAAAAAATCAGTAGATTTTCGTTATCTTTTTTTCGATTTAGACTATTCAATATTGATATCTGAAGTATTAACAATATGTTTTGAACATTTCCTGAATTTTAATTCTTTCATTAAAATTCGTCTGAACTTGAATCTCAGTTTTAACTAATTTTCTTCAGACAATTACCAATTTCTTGGTCAATAAGCTTTGTTTTCCGTATATAATTACGCACTATTCTGTATATCAGCCTAAAAAGAACAATTAAACATTTTTTTATAATTTACAGTCGCATTAGCAGGATTGTACCGTGCCATATTAGCTCCAACTATCCTTGCCCCGTGAGAGAAAAAGGAGCACATATTTTAATTTTTCCTAATTTTTTGTGAAAAGACGTGAATTTAATTGAAAATAAATAGGATATTCGTGTTCAGCAGGAAATTCCACTCTGGAAAACATTCACGTAAATAAATATTCGGAATCACTAATAAAGAAAACAATATGATAAAACGTGACAAAGTTTCCGTTGACATTTTTCAAAAACAGGTGTTTTTTAAAAATAAACTCCTAACTTCGCAAATGGTGGCAGATTGATTTCCAATTTTTACTATCATCTTTTGGTGATAAGACGCGAAAATATCATGATTGACGCGCTAATTTGAATAAGCCGTTTAAGCAATACATTACTAAAAAAACATTTTATTTTATTATTAATTTCAGATCCTAATTTTTATCTAAAAATTAAAATATACAAAAAAATTAGAATGAAAATATGATCTGAAATTAGTTACAAAATTATACAAATGAATTTCGATACACCAGAATAGAATAACAATGGTACAAATAAAAAGTTTTATTAAAAATGTTTCAAAAATTATGAAAATTAATTTTTCCATTTGGCAATTTTTTGTGAATCCAAAAACATATTTTCTACAAAATTGAGCATGGATTATTTTTTTTTTTACTATTTTATCAATAAAACTTAAACTGAAGCAAATAGAAGCAATTTTTAAAATCTTGTCAGCGACCCCAAAAACCCCCGAGTGACAATATTGAAGCAAATTCAAGCGATTTTTTGAAATATCGTCCGCCCTATTGGATCCGCCATTTTGAATTTTGAAAAACTGACATCGGATTCGTAATCAGTGACCCCATAAACCCCCGAGTAGCAATATTGAAGCAAATTGAAGCATTTTTTAAAAATCTTGTCCGCCATATTGGATCCGCCATTTTGAATTTTTTAAAACTGACATCGGATTCGTAATGAGTGACCCCGAAAACCCCCGAGTATCAATTTGGAAGCAAATCCAACCGCTAGATTCGCCGGGGGCACGAAAGGGTTAAGTGTTGCTAAGCAGTGTTAGAAGATTAAAATGGTCTAAAAAATTTTCATGCTGTCTATTTTAAACACTACCTGTCATATATGTAGGTGAATTTAACAAAAAAACAAATGATTTAAGATTAAATAATATAGGATTGAATTTTTTGTTATGAATATTATTATTTAAATTTTGTCCCGTACAGCACATAACATTTTATGTATTTATGATGAGAAGTGATTTCGTAGTCTTTTTATGTGAGAAAAATCGTCATTTCTAAAAGTTGTCCAAGAGCCCTTTATATTCTTTCTTTTATCATAGTAACTTCAATATCTCAAAATCTTAATGACGCATTATTCTATAAGTACATACAGGTGTAGAATTATCATAACTATCGAAGACAAAATAAGTGCTCACTAACTGTCGTATTTCTACGTAACATAAAGGTTAATATTTAAGATTATATAGCTTTCTTACACGTACTTAAAATCTTTTAACTACGTCAATAAATTTGATATTTTTCACCGATTTTATTCTCAGAGTAAATAGTACATAATTTCATTAAATAATTGTGAATTTAAATTTGACGTAAATGATGATTTTGAATACGAAATTAGGAAGAAAGATCTAAATAAAAAGGGTTACTGAACAAAGAAGTCTCAGATCAGTTACATTTTCAATAGAAAGATCGTAAGAGGATGATAAGGAGAAATTACGCTTTTACTATTTTAGTCATTGTTGCTGTTTTTCTTGGTGAGCTAAGGTTGAATTACTAAAATGTCATCATTTTTTAAATAATAAAGATAATAGTTTTTCAATATTTTAAAATCATTTTTTGAAAATTTCTGAGTGCTTATTTTTCTTAAGTAATAAGAATTTCTTAGTTTTTAAATGAAATATTTTCGCAGCTGTGAATGCAGGTAAACCGCAGAAGATTACTCCTCAGATTAATTAAAAATATCTTCAATATATCCATTTGGATGTTTATTTTTATAATTTATTAGTAAAAAAATAAATCATTTATTTTATTATATTAAACGTCAAAGTTACAAAATTATTTTACTTGATTCATTTTTAAAAGACCTTTGTAAAAATTGTATTATTATTATTATTAAACAAAACAGTATCCATATTATCATATTTTGACAAAAGCTCATTGCTTTAACCTTTAACTGGTATTTTCAGACAAAGTTGCTGTTCATTTTAGACTTTAAAGTTTCAGACTTTTTTTAAAAATCTAGTTTTAATTTACTTGCTCTGTAGTCTCTCAATAATAAAGTATCCTGCTTTACCACGCTAAAATTTGTTTCTTATTTTAAAAAACATTATACTGCAAAAATTTCCGAATTTTTATTTTCGAGTAAATTAGGTGAATAATAAAAAGGCGATGAATAGTAATGGTGAATAATAATAAAAATCCACGGAACAAACCTTTTTTCTAATTCAACATTTTCTTCGAAATCACGCCAGACTTCTGCGAACCAGAAATTATCAATTATCAGGCGCAATAATGAAATACCCCTTAAGGCAGGCAACACTTTTTCCTTTAGTACTTACGGGTTTCTGCACGTCTTTCTTACACTCGTTAAAAAGCTCTCGATCTCTTCTGTTTTAATCTAAAAGCTAGCGACATTTTTGGACAAGGGTTTTTTATAAGACTCATAATTGGAGGAACTCAGAGTTCGGGAATAATGCAATTTTTCAATCACTGTAATATGGTCATGTTTATTGAAAAGCGATCGTTTAACTGAACTATGGTATTGTTTTGCATTTTTTAAATTTTCTTCCATTAAGGAAAATTTATTATAATCATCATTAATATGACCATTTATTTTTAAGATACTGTAATAGACATTGGCAAATAGAAGTAGCTATTTTCTGACCATTTGCAGTTAGAAGCACTTTAAAATCATACAAGTTTTAAAAAATCCTTGCCCAATATCATTAAAAATTTTGATTTCATAATTGCCTATATAACGCATATATAGTCTGCTTATGTGTCAAAGCATATAATGATACACCGCTTATGTTGGCGTAAGTTGGCTTAACCAAACTGTTTATAATGACGAATTTAGCTACAACTGTCTTTTGTTTCAAACACTCCAGATTTAATAATATTCTATATCTTCTGAGGATGTTACAGAAGAATGAACACAATTTAATTTGATTTAATTCTGCGGAAGACGTGAAGCATGCTTTGTGGGTTAAAAATTTGAATCCACAGATTATCTTTTATATATAAACATTTTCTCTCTATCATAAAATCACCTGTATAAAAATGTAAGAAAAAAAGTAGATAATTTTTGGACTTGTCTCATCATAATATATCCGAACTCCAATCATCGTAGTCGATTTTTTGAAAAATATCAGGAGACGTTTTGGAAAAACACCGGTTGGACTAATAAAAAGATGCGGATTAA